GGGTCCCATCCTGCATAATCCATCCTTCTTCAGGCACCTTTTGTGCCTTGGAAACAAGCCCATTAATACGAATTTTAAATTCTTCATATTCTCTCTGCAGCAAGGGGAAATAGTTACCATATGAAAGGTTTAACCATGGAAAACATTGGCAGAGTTAAGTAAATGAAGCACTGAATTGATACCTTCATAGCTCTACGATCTTTGACAAAAGATGGTTGCACTTTATCCTTCAAGTAGTCAATCTTCTGTGAAAAGTAGAATTCTGGAGCCCGAGGTTCAATGTTGTATTTCTTGCAGAAGGGTACCCATTTTCTGGCAAACTCTGAAGTCTCAGACAAAGCTTCAAATGTCAACATTGCAGCACCATCATCAGAGACATAGCATGAGACTTTGTCAATTGGGTAGTCAACAGCAAGAATAGATAGCACTGTGTTTGCTGTCACAAGAGGTGGCTCCTTTAATGGGTCCACAGTACTGACAAAAATGTCAACCGCAGCTAGCTGTGATGGTTCTCCTTCATGTTCATATCTGTTACCCATATAGAACAAAAATTAAAATCTTAAATATGGAAAAGAAAAGGAAAGACAAAAAAAAAACATCATTGCTGGAACCAGCATTTACTTGAAAAGTGATCTGATATAGCAAGTTGGAGGACAGATGCAAAAGAAAGGACCCTACCTCAAAGCAAGCCTGTCCAGGTACGTTTCACGATTTACAGGGAGCCACTTAGGGAACTGATCCAATATCCAGGATATTGCAAACCAAATCTCACATATCACAGATATTAACCACAAAGCATATGCATTGGGCACAGGATTTGTGATTCGGTAATGCAAGAAAATGCAGAGGATAATAAGCCGCAAAACAATGACCATCCTGTATGGATTAATCCTAGAAGAAGTAATGGAAACCTTCCTTGAGAGAGGTTGCCGAGCTTCATCATTCCTGCAAAGACAGACAAGAGTATTATGGTCTAGTTGTTGAGTGTACCTGGTACCTAGTTTCATGTTATCAATTATTGCTTGCTGCCAACGCTCCAAATATCAGAATAGATTGCAGGGTGTGAAAATTCGGAAGGCCCCACTCCCCGGGTCATTATTGTTATGAATTATGAAAACATAATTAACTTAACCACGTGGAAACTTACAGTAGAGAGTCATCTACAAGCACATCTGTAGCGGCATCAATATCTCCAACACCCCTTTCAGAAGGAGCATGGACAGTACTCATAGGAACAACATTCTTGTCCTGCTTCATCTTCCAGCCATCTACTCTCTCCTTCCAGGCCACATTGCCCAGTCCTGGTGAACCAAACTCCCTTACTGGGTCCACAACCCTCCCATTAGCTGCAAAGAGCACACAGGATGAGTACCACATATGACCACATAGCATCCAAACATATTACACAAGAAAGAGAGATATACATGATTGATGGACATCAGATGCATAAGGGATGTGCTTCCCACCAGCAGCTCCAGGAGATGCCATAGAAATATGATCAGGAGATGCGGCAGACAGCTCTCCGGAAACCTAAAAGTTACTTGCAGGTAAAGATTAAACTCCAGGTTCATATAAAAAAATAAAATTCATATCAATTTCAAGGTATTGTTTTTTTTTTTAAAAAAGGATAGCAGCATTCCAGAATCTGATTGACTTTACCTCATGTCCATTGGTAATCAGTGGAATATGGTTATGTGTAACCTCTTTATCATAATTTGGAGCCCCAAGATCTCCCCCCCGTCCAAATGTCATCTGCCAGCTCAACATGCGTTCTGCAATCTTCTGTTTCTGGTTTTGATTTTCTGAAGAGTAATTAAAATCACTAGCACCATCGTCAGCATCACCATCCTCTTCTCTATCACCAAGAATGGCAGGGCTACCTGATATCATTTCACAATCAGTGCTAATATTATTTCAAAATAAATAACATCAAACAAAAACATCATTTAACCAGTGAAAATTTTCATTTTCCATTCCATTGCATGGAAGAAAGAGTTTTCACATTATTAATAAACATTCAAACGTTAATGTGATATTACAAGATAAAAATTACATGTCCTCAACAATCATAGTTGCATTCAACTCAGAATAAAAATCTCTTCATTTTCTGGCATTGGGTAAGGCATCCAGTAACACAATGCTGTTCAACATACCTTTGTGCCTCCTGTATCTGGTTTTGCACTGAGGGCAAGACTGGTTCCCATCCTTCCTCTCATACTCATAGCAAGGCCTGCACACTGGAAATGCACAAACATCGCAAGCAACAAATTGATTGCCATGCTTCCTCTCGTATTCATAGCAAGGCCTGCACACTGGAAATGCACAAACATCGCAAGCAACAAATGGTTCACCATCCACAGTCTTCCCAACACTGTCACTACAGATCTGGCAAACCTGTCCAACTATACTTGTCATGGGCTTCCCCTGCGCAACCAAGCAAAATGCAAATTATTTCAGAAACCATACAAGGAATCTGAATGAACCTAGTTCCACCGAGTGACCTAAACCAGACTAAAACGCCCAGGCTATTCTAAGAAGAAAAATCACAGAAAACAGTCACAGTTCAAGCTTTAAGTGAGCAACAGTACTGTCTATCTTTCTATAAATTCTTCAATCAAACCAAAAACTAATTGAATCGCCATCTATACTTACCCCGGTTTCACCTTCTGATTCCATCGATAGCTGCTCTCTTTATCACAGAGTTGAACAGTGGATGGCAATAACTGTTCGGTCTCAACAAACTCTATGCATCCCTAATCATACAGAGAGCAACGAAGCGTCAGCTTCTCTAACTCTCAACCTCAGAAGCAACCTCTTATCTCTCTGGACTACTGCATAAAGAGAGGGTGAGAATCAAACTGCGCCGCTCAATAACTACACAAGATCAACACACAAACTTTATAAATATTATCCACTGAATTAAGCCACCAATTCAGTTTACTGACCATCGGTATTCACGGTAAATACACAGGCAAATTCACCAAAAACAAGTTAATTAACCTCAAATCAAAGCGTTAACAAGAAACTATAACAGCATTACAAACAACGCAATGAAAAATTTAACTTTCATTTTCTTGGCTACCAAACATAAATTAACAAAAATTGACTCTAAATTGACTTTGAATTCCAGACAAAAACGACACGCTCGGTTCGATCTCCTAGAAATCAAATTGAATTTAGTTCAAAATCAAAGCAGTAATAGAAAACAGAAATCAGAAAGTGAATAGTTACTTACAGACTCTAACAGTCAAAGATCGACCGATGCTACGGAGAAAGAAATGAAAAGGTAGAAAGACGACGAGCAGTGCAAAGTAACAGCTCTGTCTGTTTCTCTCTTTCTGTGTGTGTATTTATTTATTTAAATAAATAATTTAAGCACATAATTAGTTAGGGGATTTCTTTTTCTTAGTAGGTGTAACATAGCTGTAAATGGATGTGCTTAATAGAGAAATGACTAAAGCTTACAGGAAACGAAAGCGACGACACACCAAAAGCTAGATCTCAGGGACGCCTCCACCGACACTAATATTTTTGACTTGGTAATTATCGGAATTGGAAGATCGGAGATGAAACAGATCATACATTGCCATAAATATTTCTTCTTTTCCTTTTGCAAAAGCTTCAAAAAAAGAAAGTTATTTTATTTTATTAAATGGACAAAAAAAATAAAAAAAAAAGGAGATGAGTGGGAGACGGTTGTACTTCAAAACAAGAAAGTTATTTTATTTTATTAAATGGAAAATAAAAATAAAAAAAGGAGATGAGTGGGAGACGGTTGTTTTTATTTTTGACTGAAGGTACGCCTAGACTACAGTTTTTCTTTCTTGTTTGATTGTGCTTTACTTTACTTACCCAATAGTGTCGTGCCACGTAAGACCTGGAAGGTCACCCTTTTTTCTCAACGGCGATAGGAACAAACCGTGTCCAGAATGAGCGTGTTAAACGACAATTCCTTCGCAGCTGTGGCCCGTGGGGATACTTTCTAACAGAGAAAATCTTTTTTTAAGGGAAAAAAATGGTTTATTTTATTGGTAATCTGTGGCGGTCCCTGGACGGGTGGGAAGGGTTTGTAAGATAGTATTCTGTAATGTGTTAAAAGATTTTTTTAAAAAATATTTTTTTTTTTTCAAAATTTAGTTTTAATATCCTTATATTAAAATTATTCAAAAATATTAAAATAAAATAATTTAAAGAAGGTACACTAAAAAAAAAAGCACGGTGGGGTTGTGCTTATTTAAAAATGTAATTATGAGTTGTTTATTAAAATAATTTTTACTTAGTAATATATTAAAATAATATTTTTTTTATTTTTTAAAAATTATTTTTATATAAACCTATTTAAATAATTTAAAAATATAAAAAAATATTTTGTAATAAATAAAAAAATAGTGTTCGAAGGAGGGGTTATAACATGAATAGAATAAATCATCGGTGGTTGAGAAAGAGACAATTTAACTAATTGGGGAGGGAGACATTTATTAAAATGAGTTGAATTTGAACATGAGATACCAAGATTATGAGATTATGAGGTATGCGACGATATTATTTTTCCTTTTCTCTTCGTAGAACACGCATCTTCCCTATATTAACACCAATCAATTCACATGGTTCAATTCAAGACAAAATACATGCTTGTTAAATATTTTTTAATAAAAAAATATTTTTTAAAAGGTTTTTTATGTTAGTACACTAAAATTATTGAAAAATATGTAAAAAATATTAATTTTAAAAAATAATTTATTTATACTAAAAAAGAAAAAACTCCATCAAACTTTTATCAAAATAGCAAAAAAAACCCTATAATATTCAAAGTCTTGTATGATAATGCATGATAATGCAGTAATGATTATTTTTTAATTTACTTTTAATTTAAAAATTTATTAACATAATTTTTTTATTTTTTAAATTTATTTTTAATATTAATATATAAAAATATTTAAATTCTTTTAACCGCAATACCAAACGGCTTCCAAATGCGAAAGCATCCAATTCTATGTCGTGGCCTTGTCATGGAATTTCAACGAGCACTGGACGACACACCATCTGATTATACACGGCAGCAAAATTTTCTTACAGATTTGCTTTCTAGGGTTTTATATTTCGAAAGGAAGAGAGATGGTCTCTTTTGGCTATGTGAAACCTGCAATTTTCGAAAGAGAAGAGATAAAACAGTACATTTCTTCACTTCCTATTTTTCTTTGCATGGACGTATCCTTCCATGGACTTATCATTTATAGATTTTTGTTGTTTACAGGAAATATCAATCTCATATTCGAGGCCTCAACGCTTGCGATCGCCACAATAAATTTTTGAACGATTCGGGTAAGATTACTACCTCTAATTTGTTTCTTTAATCGAATTAAGTGATGTTGCTGTATGGATTTATCTGTTTAAAGGGATCGATAAAAGTTTTATAGATGTCAATTTGAAGGAAATAATATCGTTTAATTTTTTTTTTCAAGAAAAGCTGAATTGAGGAGGACATAGAAGGGATTTATGCAAATAAGAAGCAATGTGTTTGTAGAATCTTCCTTTCCTTAATGTCCAAAAGCAAAATGGGATGGTGAACAGTCTCCTCCACTAAGAAAGGAAGGAGGCTACAGTCATCCTTATATTTCTTTCCTTTTCCTTTCATCACTGCCAGATTTTTTCTCATGGCTTTTTTTTCTTTTTTCTTTCTATTAGGGGTGTTTTTGTATAGGCAAGTCGAGTAAGTTTGGTTTGTATAAATATATATCAAGATGGTTATTGTTTTAAATGGGCAAATTTGGGTTTTTTTTTTTTTCCTTGCAGTTAGTTTTATGGGAAAGGAAAATGTACCAATGAGAAGCTGCTGATTGAAATGGACAGAAACGCACTAAGAAAGGATAGCGGTATATTGATTCTCTTATGATTTTATTTTATTTTTGATCTTGTTGCGTTTGCCTAGTTATCAATTGTCTATGAAATTGTTGGTGATTGGTTAATCCTTTTCCTCCAAGTATAAGGTTAGCTGCCCAAGTAGACTTGGATTTATTTAGTATTTTCGTGATTTTTTGTCGTGCATGGATGCCCTATAAACACTTTTGTCTTAAATGATATGAAACCGATAAATAATCAAGCTGGTTGGCATTTCTTTTAATTTCTCATGTAATAACTGGCAATCAGGTGATGTAAATAGGGAGTCTGTGGCCCAATTTAGTGTTAGAACAAGAAAGGGCAGGGAAAAAAACATAGATTTTTAGTCAACAAGAGGGCATCCAGTGGCCAGTTAAGTGATGGGGATGATTTTCCATCCAGCCACATGCGTTTAAGTTTAATTCACTGTTAGTTGTATGCATCCTGTGTTTCCTTTCATGCTCAATCAACACTGAATCGTTTTCAATCATGAATCCTATTCCATGACACTCTTGATGGTGGAAATTTACTCCTATATGGACAAGCTGTCTTCTTTTCTAATGCTAGACTCTGCAATTTTGTCACCTGTCACCTCTCTTTGATTTTTTAAGGCTCGTACGTTCAGAGGAAGATGATATGGTTACATCCTGGGAGCAAAGGCCAGTGAAGCGTTTTTATGATAAGCTTTCAAAGAGCATCCTTTGTGAATGGATGTTATGGTCTGAACAGTATTGTTACTCCTACATCTGAAATTCACTTCAATGTACCGTGAACTTAAGCTTTTTGAAGATGATGCATAGCTGACATGTCACTCTACAACATTGGCAAGGTGTGTGGTTTCCCATTGCATAAAGCTGTTTAATCTCAGCTGTAATGACTTGAAATGGTCATTCTGATGATCTTAAGAGTGTATTTCTTTGTTTCCCCAGAAGAATCAAAGTAAACTATTTATAGATTGGATTTTCCTCTTCTTACATTGCACATTCTTTTCTTCTGGCTCTTTACATCTTCTTTTAGTTATTCAAAACTAGTAAATATCTCCTTCTTTATCATCCAGCTGATACAAGGTTATGTTCTTGTCTATCCTACCACGGATAATATGCAATCTCTTGCTGTGACTTGCCACTGGGTTCATGTTTTTTCTGTCTATATGGCGTAAACTTTGAAATCAACATATATATATATAGCATGCAACACATCATCATGTATAAAAAATGATGTACATGAAAATACATTAAGGAATATATGTTTTAAAATGGCCGATTAATAATAAACCGCTAAGGATGAATTGATTAGAAAGGCTCTAGTTTTGAAATTAATTGGTAAAAATACCCGCTCATGGGTTAATCGATTGAATATAAAATTTTGAAAATGATCGTCTAAATAAAATGATGATGGGTGAATCAATCAGATAAAATGATTGATAAATACAAAATTTTCATGGATGAACCGATAAGAAACATATATTTTGAAATTAATTGGGAAAACAAACTGCTCGTGGTTGATTAAATTGAAGACAAGATTTTGGTACAACAGAGATGCATCCACATAAAGCATGAGCCTTGCTGAGTTTGGAGAGCCGTCATGTCTTAATGATATCCTAGTTGAAGATAAGACCACTAGACTCGAGAAAGTCGTGACATGGGTGAAGTTGGCCCATTAACTAATTACTTGATTATACTGTAAATATGATGTTGTATTTTTTTTAATAATATGTTTGTATTTTATTATATTTTTATGAATGTTTTATGCTTGTTAGGTTTTGATATATTATTATTATTGAGCAGACATGAATTTTCATATTTATGTTGGAGCATTAGAATTTAAAACAGAAAATTATAGGTGAACGAGGACAACAAGGATAGGGTGTGGTGATAAGATTATTATTGTTTTAGGCTTAATAATTTTAGAGATTATTAATCTTGAGAATATTTTCAATTTTTATAAGTAGGTTTATAATTTTAAAACAGGCTATAATAACTAAATGAAAATTGCAACAACAGGGACAAAACTGTAATAATAGAACGTTTTAAATTTTTAACAATATAGTAGGAAAAAAGAGATGATGGGAAAAAAAGCGACGGAATGTATTGATTTAGGATCTTGATTGGCATCTTGATTTGAAGTTTAGTGATAAGGGTTTAGTGTTGGGAAATGGCACATCAAAATGATGGGAAAAAAAGTGACGGAATGTATTGGTTTAGGATCTTGATTTGAAGTTTAGTGTCTTAATTTAGATTTTGGGGTTTAATGAGGGTTTAGTGTTGGGAAATGGCACATCAAGATGGAAAACGTTGTTGAGACCGGTGATTTTTATATAAAACGTTGTCGGAACGAGTGTTTTGTAAAAAGAACTGCTGGTCTCAAATAATGATTTCTATTTGGTTATGCTATTTTTTTTTAAAAAAAAATCATAGTTGGTTTGTAAAAGCACCCCGATATTTGTGTATATAAAGGGACAAAGTTAGGGCAAGAGTTGTACAGAACAGTAAAAAAAATTGTATTATGCGTGCCTGCAGTCCAAGTTAGGATAAGACGAGATGCTCAATTTTAACATCATTGTCTCGAGGTGGCTGTTATTAGTGGGCATTGTTAACTTTTTGTAATGGGCCTGCTTGTGTTTACCCCGAATTGAACGCTAAAATAACAGCGCCCTCAAGCAGGCATAAGCATAGAGGCGTACATTTTCCCATATGCGTTTGATTTTCCGAATCTAGATAGGTCCCTTTTCGGTGCTTTATACTGAGTCGGTATGAATCATGAAAGGTTTAGGCGAGTTCACTCAATTATCTTCGGTAGGTTTTCGAGATTCTTTTGAAGATTGAGATTAACAGGGAGGAGGCATTTTTTTCCCACTACAGGGCGATAAAGAATGAGTGCCCGTGCCACCTCAGCTCGGCTTGCTTAGCGCGATGTATTTCATGCAGTGATAGCAAACAGCCCGTCGTTTTACAGCCACACGGGACATTTTTAACAGACAACTAAACTTAGGGTTTGGCTGTAAGAATAGTTAAAATCCAGGCACTTAGCGGGCAACACTCCAATATTGTTAGAAGACTCGTAAGTACTGAACTCCAATCACTAAAGTCTTCATAAAACAGGCATGAAAAAAGAGAGAAAGGAATGAAGAATTGTATGCGTTTGAGGATAGAGGATTTAAATTGCTACCGTTCGTTTGTTTGAAACAGCTGTAGTAATAGCGGTTTAAAATATATTTTATTTAAAAATATATTAAAATAAAAATTTTATAATTTTTTAAAAATTATTTTTAATATTAACATATTAAAATAATTCAACAATATAAAAAATTTAATTTAAATAAAATAATTCAAAAATTTTAAATACACTCAAAGAAGAAAGAAAGATGACTTGACTTTTTGTTTTTCTTTTTTTAAAATTAAATTTTTATTATTATTTTATTTGCTTCAAGTTAATATTTTTTAATACTTTTATATTAATGTGATTATATAAAAATAATTTTTAAAAAATATTGTAATATAGTTTTAAATAAGAAAATATTTATTATCAGTCTTGTGGATATCCTGAAATACCAAAATGCCCGAGAAATAGGCCATGGACTCCTTTTTGGTTTGTCGTATGTCACTGCTTGGCTGTAAAGTTGACTGACTTCTCGCAAGCTTGATCAGCTTTACTTCTTCTTCTTTTTTTGTTTTTTTTTTTTTTTGGAATAACGGGTAAATACAAAAACCATAAATTTTATTAAAGGACAGACTGTAAAGGATTTCATGGTTACCGAAATCTCTTTTGAATAGCGCAGCTGCTTGGTTGTTCAGAAGCTACTGGATTTGATTGTTGATTGGAAAGGACTGATTTGGTTCCTTGGATTTATTATATCATTATATTTTTTAAAGCAAGTCATTAAAAAAAAGAATTTGGAACATAAAACTTTATTATTTTTCAGCACTTTGTGGTTAATACAGGAGGGACACGAAATTCATTTCTATTTATCTTATAAAAAGCTGAGAAAATAACATAATATTTTTTGTTAGTGTATTTTTACAAGCACAGTTAGAGATTGAATCTGAACAATTTAACTAGCATGTTTTTAATTAAAAGAAGAAATCATCTTGGTTTCTTGTGGGGGAAAAACAGAAAGAAAAAATTAATTTTTTTTAATAATAAAAATATGTTTGAAAATATAATTATGATTATTTTTAAAAATATTTTTTATTTAGAAAAATATATTAATAATATTTTTAAATTATTTTTGAGATTAGCCTATTAAAATGATTTAAAATTATTAAAAATATATTAATTTAAATAAATAAAAAATTTAGATTTTTAAAAATTACTTTTAAAATACGGTGATAAATACGCCATAAATATAATGCTCTGTTTGACCGCAGTAGCTTTTGTCATCTAGCACCATTTACCACCCACTAGATCGTGAATTCAATGGCCGCCTAGACGGCAGCTTGCTTGTAGGGAAACAGG